TTTAAGAGCCACCGCAAACTAGAGCTTTACGCGAGCAAAACGCTAGCAAACCCAATGACGTCAAAGACCCCACTCCTTTCTTCGTGGGTGCGAAGAAAGGAGCGGGGGCTTTGACGTCATTGGATGTTCTAGCGCACATTTGCTAGCAGTAGTTTGCGACGGCTCTAAGGTTGGTTACCAATCCAATCGTCACATGTGAATTTTGTATTCTGGAAAGTTAGCATTTAAACTTCTGTTTGGCATTTCATTATGTATTCTACTTGGTGGTCATTAAAAATGATCAAAAACATTCTAGTTAGTAAAATTTTTCTGCATTAAGGTTGTTTGGGTATGTTTAAATAGTGACAGGTCAGGTAAGATATTAGTATTAAATGTTAAAAAAATTAAACTGAAAAATATAAAACTTCATTTTAAGCTGAAAGTTTGGCCATCATTTTTTAAAATGGCAAAATTTCCAATAATTCATTGCAAATTGTCTTCCATTTCATGTGAAGTGTGTAGGCATGTAAACAGCAACAGTGATGTGATCATACTAAGTGTAGATAAGTATTAAATGATTGCTTGATCCATTTAAAATTAAAACAACACTAAACAAGGAACAGATTATTATTAAAACTGAAATGTTTTCAGTCCATTCATAGACTATCATCAGGATCAACTCCAATTCAAAAACAAAAGATTCCAAAATGTAATAATCAATTAAATCATGTTAATAAAAACAAATCGTAAATATCATACAATTTTCAATGAACTGAAAACAATTTTTGAAAAATCTGGAAATCCTTTGAAGAAAGAAAAAAGAAGAAAAAGGATATTATCTATCAAAGTAATGATTTGACCATTCAAGAAATAAAGCATTATAATTTGTAGACTAAAAGATTTTTAAGTTTAAAATTTTGTAATATAAAATAAATCGCCAACTAAAAAATGATAGTCTAACTTGGATGGCGCACATGCCAAAAGTGGCACACTGGGAGAAATCATCTGACAAATAATGTAGCGTGTAACTTTGGTTTATCATCTGTCATTTTTTAATCATCCTTACGATTTATTACTTGATCGTCCTTTTTTGATCAGTTTCTTTACATTTATTATACTGTATTTTCACAGAATCGCCACCACGCCAATCTATCCAGGGGAGACCATGAAATCAGATATTTCCATATGGTAAAAGTTGGCATGCCTGTTTAAGTGAGGTTATGCATCCCTCTCTGGAGGGCACATTAAGAAAACAAAGGAGTTTTTATTCTGTGAAAATTGTGAAACTGTGACTGACTAAACTATTTTCTAAAACTGTGAAATTGTCAGCATTATATCAAAAAGTACAATTATATGTTTAATTTCTTCAGTTTGTCTTCTTTCTAATGACGTAAAATAGTTGTGTAATTCCTACTAATGTCAATAAGTCATTAATTATTTTATTGTCTTCTAAATGAAAACTCTTTTCCTGATTTTAAGTCAATCAAACTACAATGTTATAAAAAATATAAAAACTTCACAGATATCTTTGCTTTCTTTCCATCTTTTATACTAGCAATAGTTCAGAACAGAATTTTTTATATGCAGAGATAACCTTTCCTTTGAGGTTACAGCCCTGCAACATCATTTACCAGAGGATGGCCATTTCTGTTTACATTTGCCAATATTTTAAATATTTACTTTATGTATTTTTTTGTAAAATTGGCTAACAGTTTTTAATTTTTTAAAAAATTAAATACAGTCTGCTTAGATTTTAAATATTTACAATGTTATTATTTTATTGTATTCAGAAGAATGCTTTCTTTAACATTTAATTATTTTTATATTTTAGTCGCAGTTTAACCGACATGCTGGTCTCCCGTTTTTATGTGGCAAGCCAGTCATCCTGTGAAAATACAGTAATTAAAGCATATGCATTCCATTTCTTTAAATATCGTTATTCAAAATGTAAACTTTAGTGCGCACAAACATTTTTAAAGATAATTATGTTCACTATATGACACACGACCCAAAAAGTTTGTCATTCCTGGTCTTACTCTGTAATGTTTTTAGTTGGCAGTTTATTTATTTAATTAAAAACTCCAATTTTTACAAGTATAGAAACAATGTATAAACTAATGTGACAGTCTTAGCCATTATAATGTTAAATGTCCTCTTTATAATTTTCAATAAAATATGAAGATTTTCACTTTTGTGTTCCAGCTCATTGGAATAATTATCAAAATACTTACTTATATAAAATCTAACATTCAAACTGAAACAAAAATACAATCTATTTTTTTCAAACAAACAAAACAAGCAAAAAAATATACCAGAATCAAATGCAAAATATTACTTTACTACATTGAAGACACTTTACTTTTAAAAATCTAATAAAATATCTTACTTCCATAATTGCCAGCTCCACAAAAATGTCTTTTGTCGGTGAAATATGCATTTATATGACAACCGCATTCAAATTATTCTTGGAACAATTGTTAAAATCACATCATTTTAGCATTGTCATTTGTTAAATTGTGGAACAAACATTTGGAAATGTCCGTTCCACGACGTAACAAATTTTATCATATATTGTAAAAAAGAAAAACCTGAAGA